TTTAAAGTTGAGATATAAATATATATTCAATTTAACTTACAAGTTGTTCATTTTCGTATTTGAAAAGTGTTTGGAATAACCGATAAACTAGGAGTAATATTTGATGTATGTGTAAAGCCTGTGGCTCCGCTACGGAATGTGACTGAAAACAAATTGAAATGCGGCTTAAGGCCTCCAAACAACTCGCCTGCTGAGCCTCGGCATTTGCCTGCGTAAATTTATTAGGAAAATGTGATGTATAAAAACTAAGTATTCTGCTAGCTCCTGTTGTACCTCTGCTCCATTCACCTGGGCGAGCGACTAATGAATTGCAAGACCATCTTAAATGTGGCAAAAAAACAAAAAACAAAAAGCGAAAAAATTAAACGAACCCGCAAAGCTAAAGCTAGAGTCATTATATTATACATTTGCCCTAATGAGATTTTTTATGGTAATGATGGACAAATGGAAAGCAGAGCACGAGCGAGAGCGAGAGCCAGAGCGAAAGCGAAAGCGAGAGCGAGAGCGGGAGAGATCGATAGAGAGAGGGGGCAGATGTGAACTCGGAAGCGTACTTAGCACACGCAAGCTCTTTCTTAATTATTCACAATGAACGAATATGGCATTAAATCTGGGCAGAGCGAGAGGCCAACACTTTGACACCTTTATAGCTCAATAAATTGGAGTCGATTCGCAGGTATGCGGAAAAACAAAAACGAAACCAGTTCATTAGAAACGCGCTGCGAAATTTTGATTACACTCGAGATGTCAAAGGGGCGGGGCCCTGGCCCACGCCCAGGCGCTGCCTGGCTGACCCCGACTGCGGCGACTGGTGCACTGCAGCGCGGCACGTAAAGTTTACAATTACCAGACTTTTGCGACTCGCATTGGAGTCATTAGAACTGAAAAGTAGTAAGGCGCCAGCGCCAGCGCCAGCGCCAGACCAGCCCCGGACTGGTCTGCAAGCAGGGGCATAACCAGGCACAAGCAGCTCCTGGGTAGCATGCCATTAGAGCGATATGATCCTTGGCTGCCCTCGTCTCTCCATTCTCAGACGTCGCTTGGCTGGGCTGCTTATGAATAATGTTTTAATTTCAGGCTTCACCCGTTGCGTCCTCGTTGTCGTGTCGACGTCGCGACGTCGGCGCTGGGTTCGTTTGCCCCTGCTGGCACGCAATTGCATGTTGAATGCATATGATTCCACCGATGCCCATACCCAAGATGACGCTCAACTAATATGCGAAAATTATGGGTTGTAATTTAAGAGGCACTTTTGCTTATTTTTTAATGACATCCCATGTTTTTACAAGTACGGCAGAGTTTAGTTTCAAGCAACATTTATAACCGGCTGTCTAAATAAACGACCCATGTGTGTGTGTGCTCGTGTATGTGCTTATGTGGSGGTGTGTATATACATAAGTGATTAGGCGCAAGTTTGTGTCGTTTAGAGGCATTCATACTAATTAATGATACTCTCTTACCTGAAGGTAAATATTTAAACAAATTTGGTATAAATAACAAATAAATATGTTACATTGTGGAATATTGAACAAAATGACTAAAAAATAACTAAATTATAGAAAAAAAATTTAAAAATATATATATTTGGCTACTTAAATGTTGGAGTGGCGTCGCTGATAAATACAAGAGGCAAGTGACAAGTGGCGGGGCAGACGAAGTATTCAGCCGGACGCTGAGTACCGCGAACCAGTAGGAGAACTGGTGTTTGGGTTATGTTATTAACATAATGCTGTTAATAGCATAGCATGCCGATGCGCGGGAGGAGCAATTCCTGTTAATGGAATCTGGCATTCACACTGGCTAACTGAATATATATATATATAAAAAAATA